GATGGCCTCCAACCTGATGGCGATGGCCTCCAATCTGATGGCGATGGCCTCCAACCTGATGGCGATGGCCTCCAACCTGATGGCCTCCAACCTGATGGCGATTGTCCCGAACCTGACGGCCTCCAACCTGATGGCCTCCAACCTGATGGCGGTGGCCTCCAACCTGATGGCCTCCAACTTGATGGCCTCCAACCTGATGGCCTCCAACCAACCTGATGGCGATGGCCTCCAACCTGATGGCCTCCAACCTGATGGCGATGGCCTCCAACCTGATGGCCTCCAACCTAAGAGTGCTTCTGGGGACCCGAGAGCAAAGACCTTCCTAAGGTGGAGAGGGCAGCCTCATCTACGACCCGACGGCAAAGTCCGTGGAGTCGGCCAGGGAGTCGGCGAACGACCCGGACGAATGAACCGGGACGAATGACATTGAATGACGGGATTTCAATGAGACATTGTAAGCACCATATTTCTGTTCATTTACACATTTTGTTACAGCCACTTCACTCTTGTTGTGTGGCCATTGTCAACCACAAATTGATTCAATGATGCGACGCGATTCAACGAAGGGGCTTTGATGATGACTCTTTTTCGATGCCAGATTGCGCTGCCACTTTCGCCCCGGAGCTGCGAAAGGCGGGACAAACCGGTATTTCCGACGTATAACGGAAGGACTGGGACGCTGTGACATGGTGTGAGCTGTGTGGCTTTGACGTGAGGTCTGTCGATGTCATGAAAGAGGAACGAGCCTTCTGGGATGTGTCTCCTCCATCACCCCGGGCTGGTATGGCAGCTGGAGCCAGAGACCGAAGACCTCAATTTGCCATACAGTCTAATTCGATGGACAAGCTGGATACGAAAAACATCAAGGAATTGGCTAGAGAGACATCCAAGATCCTTTTTTTTCCGAGAATGAAAGTGACATCCAAGACCACTGTGCTTTACACTGCAGGCCTTGTCTCAGGCTGCGTGCTGCGTAGATCACAGGATCCATCACGAGCTAAGGTGGAGGTTGCTCGACGCCACCGGGAGCGGATCAGAGCACGGTCTCATGACTCAGGCCAGTTGGGTTAGGGTCTTTTTTGTTCGAAGAAAGCAAGTATTGGTTGCCTTCTTCTTTCTGTGGAGGGGTCGTGTGGGCGTACTTTTTTGCAGGAGGCATGAGCAACACCGGTCGGTGTGAGACATCTTCGTAGATTAGGATGCAAAGTCTTCCTTTGTGTGTAAAAGAGTTGGCGTGTTCAAGACCTAGGCAAGCCTAGCAGCATCAGGTAATTAACTTCGTGACGTGCTTCGGATCATTTCTGGAAGGTGTTGTGTTTGTGCATTTCTGAAAGCTCCAGGTCGCACTAGAGAATTAACTCCTTCAGAGCGGAAGCTCGCAGTACCCTCAGAGATATTTTTCCAACAGTTTCAGAGAGATCTTTGCTTGGGTGCAAAATGACCCTACGAGTTCACAGGCAGAGGATGGTAGTGTGTATTCTGCCTTCCCGGCCGTTCTCCAAAAGAGTCTCCGAGTTGAAGGCCATCGCTATTAGGTTGGAGTTGCCACTCTGCCCGAGGCCAATCTTGCTTCCGGGCAGCTGCGAATTGCGACAGGGGCATCTAGCGAGCCTCATGATGATGGTGGGGTGGTGGAAAATCAATTGCTCGCATCTGCATGTGGCTCCTTCTCAACATGAAAAAATACAGTAACTGCCCAAGGGTTGGCATCAAGGATGTTTGGGTCTCCTCGTTTTTTTGTGGGACACACCTATGTGTGATATGCAGCTTCTCCAGGCCGGCGGTCATCACAAGCAATAGGAACCCGCCGAAATATGGCTGGAAGCTCGAGGGGGTCGTCCGGCCAATTGAAATTTGCGGGTCATTGACTTCACGTGCAGACTAGTAGCGTCCTTGCTCCTAGTAGTAAGGCCAGGAGCCCCTAGTAGCTTCTTGTTGCTAGTAGCGATGCCCTTTGTTACTAGCAGCAAACCTTGCTCCCAGTGATTGAGAGATGCCACGAAAATCTCTGGCTGTCCGTCTGAGGTCGTGGATTCGCCAAGGTCAGTACGACATGGGACATTCGGAGAAGATTCTCCAGCAGCTCGGTGTAGAGCTCAGGTCATAAAAGTTTTGTGGCAAACCAGGGAATCAACATGTTTGGATTGACATTGGAATGATTCAAGACGTGCCTACATCAGAGGACTTGATCAGGTGTGTTTGAGGGAGAAGCACATCCAAGAATTTGCCTCGAGGTCTGCCTTGGCCAGGGCTGCGCCAAACTCAGCGCGACAGCGCAGGATGAAGGATGCCTGTTTGGGTCACTGAAAGAACACGAAACTTGCATCAATCGGCAATCTTTGCTCAATTTGTTTTGTTCTTACTGTTTTCTTATGTTTACTGAGAAGCGACGTCCATTTGATGTTAGTTAAGATGTGAGGGTGTCACGTGGTGGAAACGGCTCGGATCTATTCAGAAATATGTGAGTCGCCAGGAGATGCTGACATCGGTGGGTTTCTTTTGATTTGCCGCAGTGGCTGTTTGCCATGCGAAGAATTGATTGTGCTGAAAAACAACGTGGTGAGCTGCTTTCATGAGCAGAAACCAATGCTCATGGCCGTGAGAATGATCTTGGCTATGCTACTAGGAACAAGTGCATCGCTACTAGTAACAAGTGCCTTACTAGTAGTAACAATGTTTGCTATTAGAAACAAGTGCCTTACTAGTAGCAACAAGAAGCTTGACAAAGCTGTTCTTTACCGCTTTCGTTGCCCTCAACATTGCTGCCGCTGTGTATGAGGGAGAGCAGCTAGGCATCCTGGGACGTGGACTGTGGTCTTTCAGGTGGATTTGCTGCATTTCTCTTGGAGTCTCACTGAAACTATTTTAGATTTATATGTACTGTATATTTAATTTGACGTTTTCCATCTAGTGCTTTAGGCTTCAGAGCTTCTGGCTTGGCCCCGCCCGCCCAAGATTGAGTCAGTTCTCACCAACCTTCCTTTGTGGCTCAAGAACCGCAGCTTGACGATGTGACACTAGCTGCGGAATTGCACATGGCGGAGGCTGAAGAGGAGGCTTGGAACTTCAGAGTCGTTGTGGGGTTGTTGTGCAATTTCGATACATTCTCACACTAGACAAACTATTGAATCTATTGATTCAGAGTTCTGATGCAGCGAAAAAACAGCTTTTAGTGCTCGTTGCTCGCAATGTCGGACACAAGCTGAAGGTTGCACCAGCTGCCGAGGCAGCAGAGGCCAGCCTGAGAAGAGACTTTGTCGAAAGACTTTGTAGCTTGACTTGCCAGGTGCCGAGCAGGAGCCTTAGAGACTTCATATTGTTCCGAGCGTTGCGGTTTTTGCCAGATGTATCCAGATGTTGAATTCTTAGTTCATGATAGTCATTTTTCTTTCTCGCAAATGTATTCCTCCACCTCTCAATGTAGGCAAGCATCAAAACAATACTGGCAAGAAAAATCCAGAGGGATAGCTTGGTTGGATTGTAAATTATCCCCACCTGCATTGCCCAGATCTGCAAAGGCAGGGTCCCAAAATACAACCAACGGTTCTTGCTTGCAATGTTGGGTCTAAACAATGAATGACCAGATGTCAAGCAGTGAGCACTGTGTGGATATATCGTAAGTAAATCTGGCATGACCTCAAAAGTCGAAGTTTTTAAGAGAAAGGGTATATAATTGCATTCTTGGACGTCGCAACCACTATCCATGAATTTTTGATCCAAGAAGGTGCTTTCCAAGTACATTGGATATTAGTGTTCGTGCTGCACTCTTTTAGTAAATTAGGCGCAGACCAAGCTGCTCCAGCGGATGGAGAGGCCGCAGGTGCGGAAGGATCCCGAGCGATTGCAGCTAGAACCTTCCGTCAAAGGGCAGCATTGACTTGTTTGAGTCTTTAGTCTTCAGTTCCTCTCTTTGAAGACAAACAATCAATGTACTGAACGGAAGCGAGATGCAGGGAGTCGTGGCAATCCCGTTGGAGCATGTTCTGTGCCACAGGTACACCGGAGGCACCGCAGGAGGGTCCACCGGATGCGATGCCGGATGCGACTGAGCCTGTGGATGCCGCGGCTGCAGCGCCGGCATCCGAGGCTCCAGCTGCCGAGGTGTCCTCTCAAATGGAGGCACGGCTATTGGGCTGCCTTGTGGGATGGCGACGGCTAGTAGCTAGGCACCAATGATTAAGTGGTGGTTCTACACTTGCTTTTGTGTTCGTTTTGATTGGCAAATAAATTACAGTATCATGTTTATGACACTTCCAAGATTGGCCTTCGCAGGGTGCCGCTGAAGCTTCCGCCTCCATTTCCACAGAGGTGCCAGTTCAAGTTTTACAGCAGCAACATGTATTGCCTTTGCTGATAAAGTACAGCAGGAGTGGCTCAAAACTCAATGGGCCTTCTGCACCTCATATCACCATGTGGCACGTAGCGCAGTGTTGTGGTTTTCCATCCTGCGCGATCAACAACTTTCTTTCAACTTCGAAGGAAGTACCATTAGCTGGCATTCTGCAGTCTCTTTTTGACACTGAAGATTCATTGCGTTCAGCTTCATTTGGAACAAAGATAAACCTGATGACATGTGCTCCATGGATATCTATGGCATGTCAGATTTTTTCGAGCAAATTGCTTGTGAGGCGCAGAGTCACCCGACGGGGGAGGCAAGCATCGACTTGGTGATTCTGCCTGAGGCGAGGGTCTTGAAATAGCAAAGAGCGAAAGCAGCAGCTCTCTCTCTCTCTCTACTAGTAACAAAGGGCATCGCTACTAGGAGCAAGAAGCTACTAGTCTAGTAGTTTCTGGCCTTACTACTAGTAACAAGAGAACGCTACTAGTAACAAAGGGCATTACTACTAGTATCATTCTTTGGTCTATCTTATTTTTTTTTGGACCTTCAGAGACATGTCTTTGAACACAAATTCTCGTCGTTCTAGGCAAACTAATGGCTTGTATTATGCAAGCTCTTGGCACAGGGCTATGGCCAGACCAAGCAGATCCATGTTGACCGCATGGTTGGGCAGATTCGGGCAGAGCTAGAGCATGAGTGGCCGGGCTGCACTATCTAAGCGCGTCTTTGCGGCTGTGCTATCCAGGGGAAACGGGACAAGGCTGAAACGTTCGTTATGCAAGGAAGAACAGCCTGGAAGGAATCGCTTAGCGAGCTGAGGCTCAGCATTCCCGACAAGTCCTTGTTCTTGATGAACCTGTCAGGTGCTGCAGAGGCCGCTCAACAAAGAGCATGTTCTCAGTTTGTAAACTCACAAGAACCGCCAAAGGGCCAACAAAAACAGTTTACACAGAGACAGACACGGTTGAACATATTTGTTTAGATATTTATATACTTAATAAATTTACTGTATTGTGTTTGTTTATGGCCCTTCAACCTTCGCGCATGGCCAGTTCAAGCAAGTGCTTCCCGACGAGAAATCACTCAGAGATTTGGGCTTGAAGCCCGGAGACCGTGTGTGGCTCTCAGTATATATGCTCAATATCACTTCTGCACTTCTTCAGCTGTTGGTCTAGCCAGTAGCCTCTTATGCTCAATATAGAGGAATCCAAAAGTGGCAATGAAAAATACTGTAATCAAACTGAATGGTACACTATTTTTTTGCCGTTATTGCTGGTATGATGGGTGTTACATGATCAAAGCTGATCTAGCTATTGAAAACCTTTCTTGGACAGTTGCTCCAACCAAATTTTGGGTATATTTCTCGCTGGAGGCGGGGATCGAGCTTAGAATCAATTACTATCAAGAGCAAGTGGCGGAGGCGCGAGCCACCTTGCGCAATGATTTCTGACCAAAACACCGAAGACTGAACGAATAACTTGCCAGCTTCACTGTGAGGAATACGTCATGCCAGACTGCCTCGAGCTGAAGGTCATGAATGATCGCGGGGAGGCCATTGCTATCCATTGCCCCACCTTTGCAGAGACTATCGAGTTCAAGAGTCATTTTTCCTTCAGGAACGGATTATTTCAGTCCACGTGCAGCGGCCTGTGATGGACAAGCTGCAACCCTAGCTTGCTGAAGAGAGAGGCTTTTAGCCAATCAAAATTTGTGGTGCAGTTGCTTGTAGTTGTGGGCAGTGAAGTCTCAAACCTGAGCAACATCATTTCTGCTTCGAAGGAAATGACATTGGTCACCAAACGCTGTGTTTCCAATGAAGACAAGCGGAGGCCATATTTTGGCGGCTACCGAAACAAGATGACGGGTGCTACGCGAGCTCCTCAACCGTCTTGCTCTCTCTCTCTCTCTATATATATACACGCATTTTTGCAAGTAACACATGTGCCTGCTGATGGCATAAGGTATCATCATGCCGTGACCCAGACAGCACCGATCCAAAAGAAAGACGTGCACATCATACGCTTCCATCGCGAGGCTGTCTGGGTAAGCCCAAAGTGTCGAAACTGTAGGCAGGGGTCCTTACGGTTCTTACAGGTTCTAAGCGTTTTATCGTCTTCAAGTGGACTCCCTGCTCTACGCTTTGTGGAGGGAACGTGGTAGTGCTGTTTGAAGTGCTGCGCGGGCAATGTGCGCTCCTGCCCCAATGCCCCCTTGCATGTCAACTATTAGACTATGTTCCAAGTCTGCAACCTGTCTACGTACTGCTGCTGCTGCTACAACAATAACAGCAACAACACCACCAACAACTCCCACTATATACTACTCTTACTCCTCCTACTGCTTCTACTGGACCTCCTACCGCTCCTCCTGCTCCAAGTAACTACTCCAACTACTGCTGCCAGTACTATTACTACTACTACTACCACCACCACGACTACTACTACTACTACTACTACTACTACTACTACTACTACGACTACCACTACCACTACCACTACGACTACCACTACCACTACCACTACCACCACTACCACCACTACCACCACTACCACCACTGCTACCACTGCTACCACTGCTACAACTGTTACCACTGCTACCGCTACCGCTACTGCTACCGCTACCGCTACTGCTACTGCTTCTCCAACCACTACTACAGCCTTTACCACAACTACGACTATTACTATGACTGTTGCTGGTACGAGCTGCTGCTGCAGCTGCAAGAACTATTACGATGGCGGCGTATTTCAAGGATGCCTTTAAAAGAACACCTTGTGCCTTCATCTCAGGTCCTAGCCTTCAGGTCTTGCCCTAAACAGAACCTTCCTGGTGCTATTGTGTGGGGGAGCGGCGAAGGGGGTGACGATCATGCAAAGGCATGCAAATGCCAAAATCATCAACCAGTTCTACTGGAGAGGGAATGGCATTGAACTAATGACAACATTTTCTGTTTTTCCTTTTGTACTAATATGTTTTTGAGCACTTGCGCTTGTGGATTGATTGTGGAGGCACAAACCTACGAGTACCGGACCCGCTCCACACAGTGCAAGCGAGAGGCTGGCACACAGATGGAGAAGGCAAGGTGGAACACAGCCGAGACTAGACTGTTTGAAATAGCATTGAAGTGGCTTGAAGGCATCCAAAACGAAACACTGGATCGTGGTTTCACATTTTTTTTAAACATGATATTTATACTTTCAACCTAACTGCCTGACTCTTGACTAGTACATTTCAAACGAGTTGAAAGCACCAACCAACAAGTTTTTTTCCTTTGAACAGTTATTGAATCGAGCGGAGAGTGTTTGGTCTTCCTATTTGGACTTTTCTTACGTTTTTCACTGTCAGGTGGGCTTGTACGTCGACCAACGCGATGACGTGGTCATGAAGCCTCGACGGCCATACTTCAGCAGTGCCGACAAGGCGTTTAAGTTTCTTTTGCAAAGAGTTTCGAAAAGCCACCCTCAAGCTACACATAGACCTACAGATAGACGAAGCAAAAGAGAAGGACTAAACTTAAACACCGGTGAAGAAACCAAGAAGACTGCCAGGCGTGAACGCACTAATTCACAGTTGGTTGGCTTTAACATTTTGATGTCAGCTTCTCTCAACAACTCTCCCACCACACACTTGTTTGGTCATCAGACAAAGACAACTTTCTGAAGCTCTCACGGCAGGCAGCGCTGGTTCTGGAGAAGTGGCCTGTCTCATTGGTCTTTGGGGGTTCTTGATGTTCGGACAAAATCCAGATTCTTGATAGTGTGAGTGTGAACTTTGATTGTGGTGGAGCGGTACCACAGCACAGCTTGCTTGAAGGTGCGTTATGATCCAGTGCCATGCCAGAGGCATGATAGCCAGGAGGCCAGAGCATTGGTAGGAACAGTAGACCTTTCTGGATTCTTTGCTGTCCTTGTTCCTCAGGCGCACTCGACAGCTCCGTCAAGCGCGGCAGGCACGCCGGTACAGAAGCATTCGTTTCACAAACTCAGAAAGAGACACGAGTACAAGCTTTTCATGACATGAGGACGTTTTAACGCTTCCAGGAGCGCGAAGAGTTAGAACGGAGAGAGGCAGAACGCCGGCAACTTGAGGCGTTGGAGAAGGGATCCAGACTTGGACATTGGGATTCCGCAGCTCTCGTTTCAAATGCTTCCTTCAATTCAGCCTCTGTTTTTGTGCTCCATGACGCAAGTACCTGCAGGCGGATCTGAGACACAAACGAGAGGTAGAGAGGAGAATGCATCCTCTCACTCCAGAGGACTGAACTTTCTTTTAATCTAGTAGCGTCTTTGCTCCTAGTAGCGATGCCAGGAGCCCCTAGTAGCATTCATGTTCCTAGTAGTAAGGCCAGGAGCCCCTAGTAGCGTCCTTGCCCCTAGTAGCGTCTTTGCTCCTAGTAGCGATGCCAGGAGCCCCGAGTAGCATTCATGTTCCTAGTAGTAAGGCCAGGAGCCCCTAGTAGCGTCCTTGCCCCTATTACCGTCTTTGCTCCTAGTAGCGATGCCAGGAGCCCCTAGTAGCATTCATGTTCCTAGTAGTAAGGCCAGGAGCCCCTAGTAGCGTCCTTGCCCCTATTACCGTCTTTGCTCCTAGTAGCGATGCCAGGAGCCCCTAGTAGCATTCATGTTCCTAGTAGTAAGGCCAGGAGCCCCTAGTAGCGTCCTTGCCCCTATTACCGTCTTTGCTCCTAGTAGCGATGCCAGGAGCCCCTAGTAGCATTCATGTTCTAGCAGTAAGGCCAGGAGCCCCTAGTAGCGTCCTTGCCCCTAGTAGCGTCTTTGCTCCTAGTAGCGATGCCAGGAGCCCCTAGTGGCATTCATGTTCCTAGTAGTAAGGCCAGAGGCGTTAGGCTCAAGCCTACACGTGGCACGCCCGTTGCCACCGTGTCTTTCACGGTGGTGCCAATTGAGCCATGGCATTTGACGCTTTGCCGATCTCCACGTCTTGGCGACATTCAAGCTGGTGGAAGGGAGCAGGACGCTTCAACATCGTGCCCTGCCAGGTTCTGCAGCGTACGAGAGACTTCGTCATTTTGACTGCAGTTGATCCAGAAGGCGTCCTGCTGAAGCTCAAGGTCCCACAGCGGTTCCTACAATTCTTTCATTCAGACGCTGCAACAGCGATAGTGGTTTGGAATGAATGTGGGAAGCTAAGGTTTGGCTGTCAGTCTCCTTCAGAGCCATTCCCGGAAGACTTCTTCCTGACCAGGGATATCCCGAAGCTCGGCGGAAAGAAGTGGGATCCAGACTACCGTCCAATCGAAGACTTTTTCGAACCTTGGGCCCAACAGTTCGCATCGTCGGAACAGCAGGCAGGTTATGGCTTGGTCTCTCAATTCGACGAGCTTACAGAACCATGGATGGAAGGCAAATTTGAGGCCCTTCAGACATCGCGCAACACAGCAAGTGGGGCGGAGGAGCGATCGGTCATTGACACGAACGCTCACTTGACACCCAAGATCCCCCCATGTACGTCTTCGCATGATCCAGAATATCAAGAGCTCGATGAACTATGGGCATACTGCCATGGGAATTTCAGACAGGGACATCAGTCAGATGAGATATCCTATCCAGACCACAGTGGGCCTGAATGGTTTGGTTTTCGTTCTTCTACATTCAGTACATCTGCTGGCAATGTCCATCATTCCATGCCACGTCTCTTCGACGCTGTTCGAAAGGAGGAGCCACCTTTGCATTTTAATTCACGTGTGTCTTCCACATGTATTGCATGTATAAGTGGTCTTTACCACTTATTTGCACTGGGCACCAAGGGCCAAGGTTTGATGTCATATCCCATACAAGCTGACCCACCACCGGTCTTGGTCTCTTCTCAAATTGTCAGTAATGAGACTTCCCAGCATACACCATTAGCTGCTGACGAGGATATGAAGAAAAGCGATTTTGTCAAGGCCTATTGGAACCAAACCGTTGAAGATTGCCAGACAAAGGAAGCCCGGTCCCTTGATATGTTCGACCTTTACCAGTTTTGTCGATCTAATCGGATTCATCAGTCTCGGGACCCTCAATTCCGTTCTAGATTTCACTCGATTCCGCATTTCCAGTCATCTCAGCACTATTCAAACAACCTGCCATCGCGAATACCCAGAACTTGTGATGACTCGTTTGGGGGGATGCCGTGGACTCACTCTAGTCCCAACAGAACTCCGGAGATATCCAGATGCCATCCGCGTCAAGAAAAGGCTATGGTTCAAAGGAATCGAAACATTGAAACGCACAGAGTCAAGAAATCTAGTGAACATTCTTCCTTGGCTTTATTCAACCGTGTACTGACCCAGGTCAGGACTCTTGCCAATGCACAACATGAATTGCAATCCTCACCGGATTTCAAGCATGTTCATGTCTGCAGTGAACAACAAGAAGTGCCACAGGAGGCCACTGCAGCAGACACCGCACCATTGATGTCTTCGCAATCAGCAATATGTTGGTTGCCGAATTCGATTGAGTTAGTTGGCTTTTCAGCTACTCCGCCTGATGATGCACACTATCGTGACAGCAATTCCAACCTTTTGCCCGTTTGTTGCCCTTCGTCATGGACGGACTCTCGGGCCGACTCGATGAACTTGAACAGCAACATGAGTTGTACAGACCATTTGACAGCTGTACGAGATGCCTTCATTCCTCCTCATTTGCTTTTCAAGTCCGAATCCATTTCGTGTGATACAACATACTTCAAAGACCTTACAGCTATTGACACACAACAGGATATGTCCTGGCCACCCAAGCGTATAGTTCCACTGAGACGAGATGACCACCTCAAGCTATGTCAACAGCATCATACCACCTCTAGTGGGGCTGTACCCGTACACAACAACATTCCATCAGGGAGCATTGCAGACAATCGGTGGTCGCAGTTCAGTGCAACGTTGGAACCGAGAGTTGTTCGTCTGGCACAGGAGGCCATTATTGGCCAACAAGCATGCTGTGTTTCATGGCAGAGACCTAGACATCAGATTGGCAGTCCTCATCCAGTTCCACTACGTTTAACCACATGTATTGGGGCTGTACCCGCTTACGACAACATCTCCTGGCAAGGAGCTTCAGACCCAGATCAACTGATGTCAGTCATACAGTATTCAGATGATCCTCAGGGAGCAACCTCTGTTTTTAACATCAGCTCAAAGTCCCTCCTGGTGGCAGATTACAACTCAGATGGGTACTACAATGACAGGTGGCTAGGCAACGACCCTGAGTCTGGTGCTACACCTTGTTCTGCTCCCGTGGGGCGCCACGCCTCGTTCCACGTTCAGATCGCCAAAGAGTCATGTTTGCAGCATTGTGTACGACCTGACGCTGACCTCCATGATCTCTTCCGCACAACTTTCTCAGGGCAAGACCATTCTCTACACCGTTTCAAGCCAGCTCAGCTTGATGATGTCGATGCTTTCGCAGAGACTTCGCACAGTCACCTACTGGAGTCAGCTGTCAGTCGGCCGTGCACTTCACCTTCCGCCCGGAAATGGCACCACAGGTCAAACAAGTTGACGACATTTACAGATGTTGCACTTTCTCAATTTTTGACAGATTCTTCAACAAGCCCATCTGCCTTTCTCTGGCCATTTGACTCGTACCAAGTTCAGATCAACAGTGAGTCATGTCTCGTGAACATCACGGATGAAGTATCAGACCTTGAGCATGGTGCCACATTTTGCTCTGCTCCCTTGGAGCGTCATGACTCGCTTCATATTCAGATCACCAAAGAGTCATGTTTGCAGCCGTGTGTACGACCTGATGCTGTTCTACATGGTCTCTTCAGCACAACTCTTTCAGGACAAGGTCATCCTCTACACCGTTTTACCACATCCAGTGGGGCTGTACCCAATGACAACTATAGGTTTTCAGACAGTCTCAACGACTCCGACGATGGTATTCACATCTTGTTTGATCTTTGTCATACCATGACAACTTATCGATATTCTTCAATTGGTCACACAGACAAGCCAATTCAGCCATATGATGTAGATGCTTTCGAAGAGACTTCGCACAGCCATCTACTAGAGTCAGCTGTCATTCGGCCGTGTACTTCACCTTCTACCAGGAACTGGCAACACAGGTCAAACGAGTTGACAACATTTACAGATGCTGTACTTTCTCAAACTTTGACAGATTCTTCAACAAGCCCATCTGCCCTTTTCAGGCCTTTTGACTCGTACCAAGTTCAGATCAACATTGAGTCATGTCTCGTTGACATTACGGATGAACCATCAGTCAACAATGCAGCAGGGAGTTTTTACAGTTCCGCGCCGTTGAGCACACAACTACATTCTTCTGCAGGACGACCAGTTTTACCTGGGCTTGAGAATCCGACCTTTCTAGAAAATCGCCCGTGTCCACAACAAGGTGCTACATGGAGTGGGGCTGTACCCAGTGACAACCGTTTGTTCTCTGGTGTTTACAATATTTGCAACGATGAGATTCTTCCGATTTTTGATCTTCACACTCACACCGTCGCTCAAGCAAGTCTACTGCGATCTCCTGAGTTGATGACGACTTCCTCTAACAACCAAGAAGATCGTATTGCAGCTGGGTGGACACCGCTACGTGACCATCGACCATTACACTTTACCACATCTAGTGGGGCTGTACCCGGTGACAATCATTTCTACCTCTCTGACAAGAATTGCAGTAATGGGAACTTAGTTTTGCCGTTCGACCCATGTCAGACAATTCAGCTGGAATCAGACTCTCGGGTCGGTTGTGTTGATGCTCTGGTCACACGTAATCGTCTTGACAATCTACCGATACTGATAGTTAACCTCCCAAGTTATGGTTCTTCAAACGCAGTGGTTGATGCCAGCTTGCAGGAAGTTTATATCCGCCTACTCCGTAGGAGTTTCGAGCAGCAACTTCCGCAGGTCCTATATCGGAACAACGATATTGCACAACCAGTCCCTTTTTTGTCATCTGCCGATATGCTACAGAGGATTTCAAATGGACAAACTTTCAGATCTTTTAATGGATGGAGCCGAGCCATCTATCGTGGGGGACACCCGGCCTGGGGTAGGTGCCAAATTGTCCATATGGACCCGAACCCACCGTTCAATGAACGATGTGCCGCTGCGATGCAGGACGAGGGCTGGTTAGCCTCAGACGAGGCCTTGTGGTTCCTCCGTAAGCTCAGAACCTGGAGATCAGACATTGTCATCGGCCCAATAGTCCAATGGAGCCCAAGCAGAGACCTTCAGCATTTAATCGCAGCAGAAGGTCAATTGCAATATACCAACAATTGCCTGAACCTCCAAATTTTTTTGGTCGACGCACACTGGTGCGCTGTTGAGATCGACAGACGCACCAATCCTGTTCATGTCGTGCTTGTGCAGTGGCCTCCAGAACTTCGTACTACTGTGATTCTAGAGGTTTCTCGCATCATGCAGATTCCCTCGCATCGCATGTTGGTCACGACCAATAACGACAATGAAGTTTTAACCATGCGCGGATGGACCATGTTGTTGAGATGGTATAAAAATTTTGCCATGGAAACATGCTTGCAACCACTCATACACGTGAATCCACAGCATCGAGAACAGTTCGATCGTGTCATCCATTGTTCCCAGCGCTCTTGGAATAAAACTAACGCTACAGAAGAGCTGAGCCATTTTGCCACTGAGTGTCGCCAAGCTTTCATGGCAGAATATGCTAGAGATCAAGCTGACACACGCCTCCCGCCGGAGGCTTCCACTACAATGTTTGTTGGTCCTACACCTGAATACGTTCAGGAAGTATGTCAGATTCCACGACTTCCAACACACCGTGAGAGGGAGATCAACTGGCTTCGTACCATGCTAATTCAACCAGCATGGATGACTAATTTCGAAGTAGACATCGTCCTTCAGTTTGTCCGCCTTCAGTTGATTGATCGATGCCTGCCAGCTCCGCTACATTTCGATTCCAAGACAGAAACTTTGGAACCTTTCCTGAATGACTTGCCGAGCATAGCAGGGTATAACAAAGTGCTTTTCCTTGTCACGTTCCACAACCACTGGTTGTCTATTTCGGGCCTCAAACATGAAAATCGATGGATGCTCACTGCCGCAGTTCCTGACCCTCTTAGTGTACAACTCACCCCGCTATTCGCAGCATTAGCGGCCATTCTTGAAGCATCTCCGGACCGGGTGCACATTCAAGCCATCGAAACACACTCCCCGCTTCATATGTGTGGCTGGACTTTACTGCATTCCTTATACAGTCAGGTGTCAGCACCTATCCTCATTGACACAACACAGCTGCTGCAGCGCATGGCTGTGATGCCTAATTCACGTATCAAGACTTTGCTCTTTGAAGAAGCACTCAGTACATGGTCTAAACAAACGCCAAATGCTGATCTCATTCATTTTGCCACACAGATTCGTGTATTTAGCTTGGCACACCTGGACCAGTGGACGTCTCATCATGTCTTGCATTTTGGCGGCATGTTTCCTACCCAGGGTCCACCCACGGCTCAAGCCTCCTGGACAGTCATTTCCTCTGCAGCTAAGGCGAAGATCCTGTCCAAAATCAGATCTCATGTGCCTCGGCCATTCGTCTGTCCATGTGTCCAGAAGCTGACAGCCTATATTGAAATCGATCGCAGAGTTCCCTCCAATACCAATACAGCTATTTTTGTAGCTTACATCAAGCCATCGCCACTCCAGTGGGCATCTCATTTTTGTCAAGAGCGAGTCATCCACGATTCCTGCGTACATG